GTGTAAACAATCGGAACCACTTCCGCACACACGCCGGTCTCGCGGGACCGCGATACAACTTTGAACCTCTTGTTTGGTTTGCTCGGGTTACTCGTATTAACGTTTATTATATTGTTGAAATTATATTTGCTATGTAAATAGCTCGCTAACCCTTTTAACGATAACGAAATACCATTGTTTTGTTAGAAAGCACGCGAGTTTTAATATTCAATGTTTGAGACTGAGGCGAGCGGATCTCGTATTTTTATATACTTGCCTCGTTTATATATTATACGCTTGAATCATTATATTCTCACAATTTCAATGAGAGCAAGACCAATAAAGAATCAACACGGACTCGGTAGCTCAATTGGTACAGCAACAGCACGGAACGCTGACGACGCCAGTTCAAGTCCTGCCCGAGTCGAACATTTTTTTAAATTAATTTTTGATTATTAAATTAACACGTTTATAGTGACCGTTTATGTAGTAAACATAAAAAATGAACACTTAACGGTTTAGAATGCAAAAAATTTAATCTAATAAAATAGTTTTTTTTCTCTGTTTTCAAAGCGGATATCGGAAAGCATGTCATGTATTCAAATTTTAAAAGACGTTATATATTCTAATTATATATAGTACTCATTCAACTAACTAATAGGCGATTAATTTTTTTTGAATGGTTGTTCCTAGAAAAACAACTCTTCAGCTTTACGTATTGTATAGATAGGTTTAAAAGTTCCTTAGTAGCTTGATCTATTAGGTTGATTGTGGTAGCCCGCACTTGTCGTAAAATTTGTTCAACCTAAAAAGATTAAAAATTCATATAATATCATCAAAATGTCCAAATTTATCTTATATTCATACGAGTAACCCCACGAAACTCTGAGGTTTCAAGTGCTGCACGTGCTATTTATTTTTGTCAATCTAAAATAGATTATTTAATTATAGCGGAAATTCGGGATAGTTAAAACTTTGAAATAATCACCAAAAGATCATTGTATCGTAAAAGATCAATCTCGCCTTCCTTATACCAGTAAGTTAGCGTTTCTTTGCCCCAGCTATTATTGCTTAGCGAACAGCTGTGAGAAAGCCTTTCGCAATAAAACGATATGAGATCGGAGATTAGCACTCCACTTCCAATAACTTTGCCGCAAAGTATCAAATACAGTACTTAAAATATAAAGGATACACTATAATTATAAATAGATATTGTGAGAAGATCAGAATTTGGGTGGTTTATTAAAAACTTCAAAATACACGTATAGCGTAGCAAATATTACATATTAATAGTAGCAGTTTATGCCATGCAATCAACGGATTCGATCCCCACCGAGAACACCGAGTATCTAATTAATTTGTAATTTTTCTGAAATATGGAATTCGTCTAAATCTGGATATTAAATTACTGGTAGGGATATCGCCCGGGTCACGAACCACTATAGATGTAAAGCCGTATGGTTTTATCGTGTTTAAATTTAAGACTGTGCATATCCGAATATGGTAAGCCAAAAATGGAAGACAGCACCATCAACAAGATTGTTGAGGTGTTGATGTGGTTGGAGTTCCCTTCCATCAAGTGAATACCACAGTTGTCTGTGTCCTTCTCTATCATGCTTGATGTCGCTAAGTTTTTTTTCTCCAATCAAGAAAAGAAGAAAAGCTACAAAAAAGTAACAAAGGCGCTTCTACTATGGGTAATCATTTTAACATGAACATATTAAATCTTAAATACTGTCTATAGTTTACGCGAGTAGTACACATTTAAATAAAACACTTTAACGGTTTAAAACGCGATATATTAGTTAAACTTATTTAAAAAATGATTTTTAACTTCGGCCCGACGTTTCGGATGCTTTGCAGCAGCCGTGGTCCATTTATTTAAATATTAAATCTTTTAAAAGTTAAAACATTTGATTAAATAAATGTGAAGGTTGATTTTCGATGTAGAAATTAATTGAATAGGATTTTTTGATAGACCTATAGCTGCAATTTTTTAAGTCAAACTAGCACATGTTAATTTAAAACTATTTGCTGGGATATCAACCTACCAAATTTATTATTGTCATACAAAAAAGAAATCAGTGGGCGTTGTCTCTTTGTAGGTAAACTATATATGTGGATAAGTAAGTATTACATTTAAATAATGTCTATAGTTTACGCGAGTAGTACACATCTAAACAAAACACTTTAACGGTTCAAAACGCGATATTTTAGTTAAACTTATTTGAAAGTCTTCCCGTGAACACGGCTGCTGCAAAGCGTCCGAAACGTCGGACCGAAGTTAAAAGTTATTTTCAAATAAGTTTAACTAATATATAGCGTTTTAAACAGTTAAAGTGTTTTATTTAAAAGTATTACAATTTCTAACTACAATAACAATATCTTTCATAGTACCCTTGACTTAATTAAATTGTTGGAATTCTATAGAGAATTATATATTGCGGTTTACAATTCCCATTTCACAGAACGCCTGTTATCATAGAATTAATAATACAGCTACGACTCATTAATCATATTTATGCTCCAATTATATTTGACTAAACTTTTATTAATGTTATATTTTAGTGAATCATATAATGTTCTCATTTGTCTAAAAATATAATTTATGTATTGACGGTTATTTCATATTTATAAGTTGACACTTATAACAAAATACCAACTACCCACTTATTTAACAGTTATTTTGGACAAAGCACTGTCACTCCTTAATACGAAACGTACACACAGAGATAAAACACTTCTAAGCCCCAAATTGATTAGTTAAAGTTAACTTCTTTTAAGTACGGCCCAATTATTACAGGTCACGGGGGTGTCCCCGATAAAAGTGTTAAATATACATTTATTTTCCACTGCAAAAAATCTAAAACAGTGTACTCCATCTATATTTCACGATGTGTTAATCCCTTTTATAGCTAAATACAACTTTTGTGCAATACATTGTGTGAAGGTGTACTTAGGTTACGAAGTTACAATTTCCATCTTAAGTCTAGGTGTTAAGGTTTAAAGTACTACACATTTTTAAATAGCAATTTATATCCATAATACAAACAGATACTGTCTATAGTTTACGCGAGTACTACACATTTAAATAAAACACTTTAACGGGTTAAAACGCGATATATTAGTGAAACTTATTTGAAAATGATTTTTAACTTCGGCCCGACGTTTCGGATGCTTTGCAGCAGCCGTGGTCACGGGCAGACCGAGAACGTCGGGCCGAAGTTAAAAATCATTTCCAAATAAGTTGAACTAATATATCGCGTTTTAAACCGTTAAAGTGTTTTATTTAAATAGAAACAGATATTAATTTACGCTAGTTTATGTAATTTAGTACCTATGCACGAGAAAAAGCTATATTATTAATAATAAACATTTTATTGTTACTAAAGGTTTTTTTATAAAAAGCTACATGGAACTTTAAACTTTAGTACTCCACGGATCGAGCCCTGAGCGGCGTCAAAATGTCGCGACCACTTGCCCTCATTCCCTCGCAAATTGACGCAAAAATGACTTAATCCTTTTAAGACCTCTTTACTACTCACTCACGTATCTTATTAACTCAGGAATGAGCTCAGAGCTTTCCGTCAATACACCACAAATCAAATGGGACAGATTACCATGAAAGTACATAAATGCTACACTGAGGTTCCTCAAATACTGACTCATGCTTCCCAAACAATGATGTTGCTACATAGTATTGTTCGTATTTATAAACGTCTGGGATAAAAATGCTTCGAAAGTATATCAAAATAGTTCTACTCACCTCGTGGGTTAGCCGTTAGGATATTCAAAACCAGATTACGAAAGTCTTTGTTAATTTTGACAATCTTACTTAGCATTTGAAATTTGCTGAGGATATTACTAGTTCGCCTGAATTAGGGGGTGACATCATCATCGTATTTAGGAGAGCCCTTTAAGCCATCACCACTAAAGGACTAGCGTATGGAACATAAGGCCCTAAAACTCTGGTCTGCACCGTATCCGTACCAGCTGTGGGGCTTTCATAGGTCGAAACGAAATCTCTTTATAGAAAATATTCGAACGGTAAAAGTTTAAGTAGCGTTCTGTCAAAAGATATCAGCATCTTATCTCTTGCTTTGTGTGCGTCAGCAGACATCGAGTACTAAAATTTTAGTACACCCTTAGCAGCTTAGTCATGGCTGAGTCTTGTAAAAGAAAGAATTAAGATTTAGAATTATTAGGCTTTTAGAGTGCTTTAGGGTCTAATAGGAGGGTAATAATAAGATTTTGCTTCTTGCCTCTCAGGCAGAACACATAATATGAATTCAATACCGTTTAAAAACTGACGGGCTCGTAATCAATGGGTCATGAGTTTGAGCCCCGGTTCAGAAGTTTCTAATCAATTTGTAATTTTTTCAAACATTAAATGGGTAGTAAGAATATTTAAATTTCTCCGAGTCAGAACCACTGTCCAATTGAAAAAGCCGTCAAATTGATTCCCGTTTCGGTTACAGTCTGAGGATTTCAAATCTAAAGCCAAAATAGGTCGACAGCGCACTTGTTTAGATGTATATAACATTTAAATAAAACTCGGGCCGAAGTTAAAAATCATTTTTAAATAATTTAACTTATATATCGCGTTTTAAACCGTTAAAGTTTTATTTAAAGTGTACTACTCGGTAAACTATAGACAGTATGTATATAACATCTCAACGAGAGGCTTGGGTATTTTACCTTCCATGAAGTGAACCTTAAACTTGTGAGTCCTCTTCTCTAAAATAAAAATATGTTGGATCTAACAACTTGAATGGCTCATTTTCTGTGTCGTCGTATGTCGTATTACGCGTAGGATATATTACCTATACAAAGACGATAAATTGTTTCAATTCGTTTAGGAAAAGAAACTAAAAATGCAACACATTCAACTGTTAGCCCTTGTTAAAGTCTATCATAAGTCTATATTACCCTCAACGATAAACTGAACTTCACATTTAAATTTTGAAGTCTTAAGTGTAGCTCAATTCTACAATTTTCGATATAAGAATATTTTATTTCAGATCTACACCGATTGGGCAAACCACTACCTAGAACGAGCCAGGTCCCGACGAAGGGCTGGCACTTCTGGAGGCGGCCTGGCTCGTGACTGTGCTGACGGCTTACTCCTGGCAGATGTTCTTGAAGGTGTAACTGGACAGAAAGTACCACGAGCTCACCGGAAACCGAGGAACCCACAACAAATGGTGAGTACCAAAATCTCCGTTGATGATACGTAAAATTATTAGATTTTTGTAAATGTAATTAAACCGATTGGGTCATTCGCAATATCAGTTTTACTGCAAATCATAGTAATAATTAAATATAAATCTTTAAGTACATATTTATAACTGCGTACGTATCGCCTCTGAAGCCTTATGGTAAAATGTGTTCCCTAGCATTGCGTTAAGCTCAAGAGGTCCTAGATATGGATCCCGTGGGTTTAATAGTTTCGGTCGGGTGGGAACAGTTAGTTCAATCAACTATTTGCCTGTAATGGATTATTGAAAAGGACACATAAATATGTTCGCCCGATGTCCCAAAGGGCAAACGGGACTTCACTTTTTTACGTACATAATATGTACAAGAGATTTTTATATGCTCATCTAAATCGATTTGAAAAAGTCAGGTACCTGTACTTATTACAAATTTTTAATTTATCAGATTTATTATAAAAATTTGATCGATACGCCGCCATTAATCTCTCTAACGTCAAACATACTCCAAATTATATCCTTCCGATGTTTGTTATTACACTACGATTAAAAATGAAAGCCCAAGGATATTTTGTTAGTCCAAAATAGCTATCATCTCACAAATCACTCAGGTACCCATACGGGCGTCCTGCCTTATAACTGTGGATGTCAACAAAATTCTCGCGTCATCGCTGAATTGAAACATGCTGTTTTAACACTTGTTGCATGGACACAGAGTGGATATTCGTATAACATTTTAGCGGTACGCGTACGTTTATGGGATAGGTAGCCCACAAACCCAAATCAATGTATGCATTTGCTTCCGGCATACAGTAAGAAAGTGCTGATAAGATTTATCGGTTCCCACTCGAGGCTAATGATAATACTCTGTAATTACTGCACTAACACGTTCTTTACATATTGACCTTACTTTACGCCACTATACATTAAAGCGAAACACTTTCAACGGTTTAAAAAGTGAATTAAATTAATAATCATCATTATGATAAACATCTATCAATTGACCTCTCGCAAGGTCAAAATAGTTTTAACAGAATAGCTCAAAACGGTAACGTACGGACACGGTAGCTCAATTGGTTAGAGCAACAGCACCGAACGCAGCCCGAGTTGTAATTTTTTTTTAAATCTATATTCGATTTTTAATTTATTTTTGCCATCATATGAAAAATAATCAAAGACTAACTTATTAATTGTTAATAAAAAATGTTATACAAAAGCCTTTGACCTGTTGCATAGCTTACAAAACACGCCGTATCGTTCAACACATGCTCCAAGCCAACAATACTTAACTTCCGATTGAGCTGAACACAAACAAACTAAAGGAATGTAACACCAACATTATAAATCTATAATGTTTATGACGTATTGAAATTTTTCTTTTGTGAAGCGTTTTTTTATGATGTCTTAAAATTCTTAAGATTTATAAGACTTAAATACCAAATCTAGTTTACGCGAGTATTACACATTTAAATAAAACGTCACAAATGGTCACGGGGATTGTTGAACTAATATATTTCGCGTTTTAAACCGTTAAAATACTTTCCTAAAATTGTAACACTTTTTCAATAACTTATTATTTTACAAGTAGTTGGTAAGGTGAGATCTAGACAAATTTTCCTAGATTTTTTTGTTTTAGTAGAAGCTACTAAATTAAAGATTTTCATCTCAGTGTCAGGAATACTTATTAGCTTATATTTTAACATCCATAAGGCTTATTATTTACTCATATTCATGTCAAATGACTGACATTATTACTGTTAATAATAAAATATTAGCAGTATTAAAATTAAGAATAAAAAAAAAGTTTTAAACGACTATATTTTTTAGAAACATTTATCTTTACTAAATATTGTGTGAAAATCTCCGTAACAGATATCGATAAAATTTTAATTTCATTGCATAAAAGAAACCATCAACCACCAATCAATTGTGGAACAACCCTTTACTCAAAATATTATGTTCGTTTGAAAAACATCCTTAAACACAAAAAAAGTTGACTTGCCCAAAGCAGTTTTTTTTGCGTAGACACGAGACAGTCGACACAAACGTTATTGTTTACTTGTTCAATGTAGTTAGTATGATTAATAGAGTTCTATAGAAAAATATTTTAATCACACCGTTTAGAAAAAACCTGAAGATAACCTGTTAATTATTTATCAGCTTTTGTCGAAAATTTCATTTTAAATTCAATTATTATGACAAAAGGTTTCCATTGAGAAAACGATCATTTTGCATCTAACGGTATAAAAGCTCGTTATAACAGAATCGATAAGCGGAAACCGACCCGGATATAGTAATAGTCAATGCTTTATCAACAATTTAAGTGAATATGGAAGCATTTTTAATTTGAAAACCTTATTATAGAGTGTACATAATAGCAATATATACATTAACATGGACAAATACAATGGGATCGGACGAGATACGGTAGCTCAATTGGTTAAAGCAGCCGGAGCCTTGTAGATGCCGTTTGAAGTCCAGCGACCCGCCTTTGTTATTTCCTTTTTTTAACCTAAATAGATTTTAAAGTTATTAAATAAACAGATGTTGTCCCGGGAAGTTCACGTGCAAATGGTAGCTAATTGGTAGAACAACCAGACGGGAACCCTGTGGTACTGAATTCGATTTCCTCCGAGGTCTACTACCCCGCAGCTTAAAAACTACATACTTGCATTTTACTTTATCGTCACTAAATACGTGATAATACCAGATTTTTACATCTTAAAACCTGATACAACATTAGTAGGTAGTGCACATCCTTGAGGAACTAGTTTTTTTATACATCTAAAATCTATTAATTATAGTTTGGCGCAGTCAGACGTATGCAAATAAAGACACCACCCTAAAACGGTCAATTGATGTGACTGAAATAAAATGGCTTCTTCAATTAAGCGACATCGTTTTAAGTGTTAATTACACGATAACTCGATACGTTATGCATCTTTCGATTTAATTTCTTTAAAGCTTGTGAAACGCCAGCTCATTCGCGTGTTTGCTCCGTCGAGTGGCGGGTGCGTCGGAGGATTCGAGTGCGCGCGAAGAATAAATCGATCTTGTTCGATTTTTAATTTCGCGATGCTAACGATTTTCATATAATCGATTTAATTTGTTGTCTGTGGTTGTTTTTTGTGTTGTAGCCGAGCTTTTAAACTATATTGTTTTGTTGTGTTGTGTTAAACTATAAATTGATATTTATGGATATGGATATGACTATAAAACTATAGCCCTGGGTATGTTTAAGGTTTCTTTATTAATAACACGTTTCAAAGAAATATTGAATAATATTTCGTATAAAGAAATAAATAGGTAATCAATCAACTTCGCGAACCTGTCTTCGTAATTTGTGAAAATTCGGAATGTAGGTGGGTAGGCTAATTGAGTAAGTTTTACGGTATATATTATGTACCCGACCGATAATAAACATAGGTTTTATGTCCAAAAGCAAGCTTAAGTCAGTAGTTTAATATATTATTTAAACTTATGAAACGTCAATGTAATTAAAATAAATTTAAATAATTTTAGCTAATATATTTCGCGTTTTAAACCTTTAAAGTGTTTTATTTGAGTAGGTAAAATTTTTTTAACTAAGCTACACAAAATGGCCTAGTAATTTATTGCGAAATACAGTTGATATTCGTGTATAGGTAGTACTTTTTTTGGTCATTTATTTCTGATATAGCACATAATAAATGAAATTACAAAAAATAAAGTAGGTTAGCCTACCTAGATGTTATTGCCATCAAATTAAACAAATCTACAAAATTCGTGTCTAATACATTAATTCCATAAGTATAAAATATGAAATAAGTTCTAACGGTTTAAAACGTGAAATATGATGTATTCATATATTATAATAATACAATTTTCGTCGATTACAATACCTAAGCATGGTCACGCAGAAAACGTGGGTGACGTAGTCAAAAATAAAATTAAGTAATATATTTCGCTTTTGAAATTGTGACAAGTACTTAAATTTAATCAAATAATATAATTGTGAATTCAAATGGATTAAATAAGTTTTGACTTTATACTACAGTTGAAAAAAACACATTTTATTAAAACTTTTCACACGTAAGATTAATTACTTTGATACAAACTTAATCGTGCGCATTCTTCACAGGAAAAGAACCTTATGTGTTATTTTGTGATTTCGGTGTGTCCTCTTTGCTCGGTAACAAAATAAACATATTATAAAACTTTTTAACATCGCTTTACGTTAATATTGGTTCCGTACCTACTTTCCCAAATTAATTACAAATATTTAAATTGTAATGCTGTTAGTTTTTTTTAATATTATATACGTTAATTTTTTTGGTAAAAAAATTAAGACTACTTTTTCTTAATAAACCACTTCAACGGTTAAAAACACGATATATGTTAGTTAAGCTTATTTGAATTGTTTAACTACGGCCCGACGTTTCAGATTCTTTACAGACGCCGTGGTCACGGGGAGACTAGTCGTGTTTTAAACCGTTAAAAAGTTTTATTTAAATGTGTACTACTCGCGTAAACTACAGATAATATTTATATTCTCTTTATGAGTAAAAAGTTCTAAGTTAAAAGTTGCGAAAGCTTTAACTTTGATTTGATTGATTAGATATAAAGATTTAAAAGTTAATTGTGTGCGTACTCCTAAAGCTGTATTTTTATCCACCGAGATCCAACATGAAACAGATGTTATGTAGCACCGATATGTTATTTATTTTTACTTCGAAATCGGTTAAAACAACTGTTTTGCATGTAGATCTTAAAAGTATGCATAATAAACAATGAATACTTTCAAGTTACAAATATTAGACATATGTTAACATGTTGACGGTGCTCATTGACCCGATGGGTCGTGGGTTCGATTACAACCGCGTCCAACGATTGTCTGAAATCAATCTATAATTTAACAAAAATACTTTAACGGGATATATATTAGTTAACTTCTTTGAAAGTTATCTTAGGTAGGGACCGACGTTTTGGATGCATTGCAGCAGACGTGGTCACGGGGAGACTTCCCGCTCGACAACTGCGTACATCGCGTTTTAAACAGTTAAAGTGTTTTATTTAAATTTGTACTACTCACAGACAGCATTTAATCAATCTATAATGTCTGTGAAATATTGTAGACTTCTTATCTGAATATTAAATTTAGGGTAAGAATATATAAATTCTGCCCGGGTCTACTAAAGGATTATTATAATGCCAATTCCGCCTTTTGTTTTTACCCTGGACGTCCGAATGTCCAAAGGCAAAATAGGCCGACAGCTCTTCTTGATATTTCACCTTAATGGAAGCGAATACTTGTCCGAATCCCTCTATAAAAAAATAGGTTACCCTGTAGTATCGTATGACGCGAAAATTTAATGCTTTCCCTTAAGCCCTTCGTAATTAAGACCAACGCACTTATTTTCTCCCCTATATCATTTTACACCGTGACATTATTGTGTAAACATTCGCAAATTGCCTACCTGAATTTCATGTAATTTTTTGCATACCTTCGATACTTGCTAGGTTTCGCCTTACATTCTCATATTTCACGTAAACAAATAATAAATCATCATTCTTGTAAAACTACGATTGTGTACATGGTGTTTCATTCAACGTAATTATGTTGGAAAGGGGCTATACGTTTTATTTCTTAATTGTACATTACAATGTATTTCAAGATAAATCTATTAACGTTTTATGTTAATTCTAAACTTCATCTAACTAGTATGAAATTTTGTTTTTTTTTTTACTTATTTTATAATGCGTATATAAATAAACTAAGCGATCAATTTTTAATATTTTTGGCATACAAAATTGGCACTTAAATGACTTAAGCCACTTTCCTACTAAAAGCTCTAAGGACTTAGGCGGGATTTGAACAGGCACCAACAGCGTCCGAAGGTGCTGCTCTAAACTATTAAGCTATCATGTCAAATCACTTTTAATTCTATAACATTGTTAAAATATCAAATTTCAATGAAGATCTACTTACAAGAAAAATGTAAAATTTTAACCGAAAGAGCGGATTATCGTTCACATCTTATTTACTTACATTAGTAATATTTAAAATTTCGAACGTAAGTAATTCCACGGTACATTTATAATCATCTAATGTGTTGACAAACTTATCTAATTTACACAAATTATAATTTAGAATTAGTCTTTATTTATTTATTATTCTTAAAAGAGTGTAGGCTCTTCCAGAAAACTATATTTTAAGCTTTTTTCTCGCTCTTAGTAGAAATTATACATAGCACGTGTAATTGTTCACTTTATGCCTCGTAATAAAAAGTATGTCTCAGGCGCCAGTCACACTTCGTCGCCTTGAACTGTCGACTTCAAGGAGCAACAGATTTAATGTCAGGGAGCTCCACCAATCCACTTGCCATATTGTTGCCATATACAATGACTCGTTAAAAACGTATTATTTCATCTTATTAATGTAAAGGAGAACGTTTGTTTGTCCTTTTGTCATGGTCAAAAAGTTTAGCTACATTTTTGATAATCGTTCAAAAGAAAGATGTACCTACTTAGCGACTATCTGTTTGGGAAATATGATCATATAAATAAAAGATACAATCTCTCTTACTTTAACGGGGGGGGGGTCCTAATTAATTCATTAAATACGAGATTAGCCTATCATTACTCATTTCATATTATACATCATTTATTGATAGTATTTTAGTACCTTTTTGTTTTAAAAATTATCACGCGAAAGAAGTTACGGCTAAGAGCTAGTCAATTCTATACGTAACGATTCTAAGAAACGCCAAATGTCAAATTGACAAAGCAATATAAATTGGGCACTTATCCAAATAGTCGCTTTGAAGAGACGGTTTGAAATGAATAAAAGTACCCTTAAAGAAGATTATTACAATCGGATCACGGGACATTCGCTGATGCAAAAATTCACACCTTGTTCACGCGGGCAAGCAACTAGCGGCGACCGGCGACGCGAATGCAACTACAGAAATGACGGATAAATATGTCTGTCGTTTACACGAGTAGGACACATATAATACTTATCTAAAGTTGAAATAATTGTCAAATAAGTTTAACTAATTTGTATCATGTTTTAAACCGTTAAAGTATTTTATTTAAACGGAACAAACTACAAAATCGCCCGACTCGTCGTACTACCGATTTTCGTGGCAAGGCGGCCTGTTATTATTATAAGATTGAAATATTTTTCACATGTTACTGCACATGGTGGCGCTATGTAAATTAAAATCGGTTTTAAATTGAAAAAAAATGTACCGGCATCCACAGCGAGAGGTGCATGTGTTAATAGGTTGAAAAAATTCAACAACGACGTGTAGGAAGGACACGGCAGCTCAAATGGTTAGGTATTTTTTTATTTTCCCGAATATTTGGCAAAAATTGAAGTATGGTAACCCTGTAGTCATCGTTCAACACTCAAATTCATAATCACCAAAACCAGACCCGAAGTAGAACACTGATTAATAAGCGCGTTTTAAACTTTTTGTACTAGCTCATACGTCTAGTGTAAAGAGGTCGACCCGCCGCTTGGTGTTTGTACTCGTTAATTATGTAAATAGCAAATCTGTCGTCGATTAAACAACGATGTACATCGTCTCTTTTTTTAAATTTACCGATAGTGTAACCTACAATTCTGATTTCATTTTTAAATAGCAGTTATAGACGTAATTTAATACTGACTCTATATAAAATAAGAAAAATACGTTTGGTTTTAATAAACAATAATAAGGGTTTAAAACGCGATCTATATTTCTTAATTAACGTTTTAACTGATACTAGGGATTGACAATCGCAATAGTCACGGAATATAGACATTAATATTTCTAAAAACACTTTTAACGGTTTAAAACGCTAAATATTTTAATAGTAGTTCACTTTTCGCGTAAATTAAAGACTACATTCATTCTTTAGATTTTAGATATTCGGAAATCCTTAGCGTGAAACCTGCTCTTGTAATTTTCATCTGTTGACGGAGAAATTTGATATTCCCATTAACAAGAGTTTAACGTAACGAAAAATGATGAAACTTGACTAAAATTATTGGACCCCAGTGGAATCGAACCCACGACCCGATTATTACCCACACATCGCTACCATGACACCCATGAACCCGACAGAATTTTACAGCATTTCGAAATAGATTTTTTGCTGAAAACCTCTCTTATCCGCAAAATGTTTCTAGGAAAACAACAAAACGATATAATTAAATTACTTATTGTAGAACTATGACTCAGATAGCTAAATCTCATTGGAA